TTCCAGTCTATCATCACCTACATTTACCTTAGTTTCCTATATGTATAGATAATGTCTACTTTCAGTTTGTATTTAGGTGTGACATAACAAAACAGACTCTTTAAGGTCATAAATAGGATGTGTTCTGTGGTTTTTCATAAGGTTTTCTGTGCCCTCCTCATTATTACCCCATAAAACCCATGTTCTTTGAAACTTTATAACGAGTAATTCCCACATAAGGTCAATTCCAATTACCCTTTTATTTGTAAATATGTACTTCTATGACAAGGTCTCTCAAAATTAGTGCTTCTATCTTAATTATACAAGGTTTTGACAAGTTTTTTTCAATAATAATCTATTGAATAGATTATTTAGGGATATTTAGGGATATTATTATAAATAGGGATATTATAATATCCCTATTATAAATAGGGATATTATTATATTCCTATTATAAATACGGATATTATTATAAATAGATTATTTAGGGATATTATTTAGGGATATTCTGAAAGAAATTTAATGTGAGAAGGTATAGACTTTCTTATGACAACATGCTTTGCAAATTTCTAAGGCTATAGATGGAGTCTCTCAAACTCATTGGACCAGAGAAACTTTTGAATAGTTTTGGAAATGGTGACCGAAGAAATATGTTCCTACAAAGTATTCTGTTGCAATCTCCCTGAAAGAGATACCAATATGAATACCTATGCTATTGCCAAATATCACATTTTGACACTTGCATGAGTGTGACCCTTGCATTCAACATATTCAGTCTTATAATTATGTTCTGATTACACAAAGAGTAATTAATTATATATTCTGATTATGCAAAGAGTAATCATTATATGTTCTGATTATACAAAGAGTAATTAAATATGCAACAAATGGTGATAATTCCATGGAAATCATGTCTCAATACATGCTGTCCTGAAGGTGAAAACTTTTATTTTCACTTTTCTGAGATTTTATTTTCTCTTGTTAATTGAGATCTGTATGTTTTCAAGATTAAAGGTCTGCATGCATGACAAGTAGTTTGTACCATGCAATTTCCGTAGGAGAACATTTTGTTCTTGGTCACCATTGTGCTTGGTATTAATTGCCCTTTTAGGAATATAGAGTCCCCAAGGTACCATTCTGGCTGGATATTAATTCTTACTATAGTAAAAAATTAGTGTGTACTAGTGTGGCTCCAGGAATTTATGTTACCACCCCAAACTTGGTCTTGGACTTAGAGATCTTTTTTCAGAACTTCATGATTTTGGGAAAACTCATTGATGAGTATCACCTATTTGGCTCATGAAACTAATTGTAGATAGAAGGACAAAACTTTCAGAGGTGAGGAAATAATTACGATCACTTGTTTTCTGTTGGCCATCTACATATGCTACAAATTATCTATACTAGAAAACATAATAATTACTTTATACACTTGCTAAGGTAAATCTTCCTCAAACCATCCCAGCCAAGAATTCACCTAGCTTTTGTATCCACCATCTAGGAAGTGTTTTATTTTTATTTCTGAACATCTTATTGACTTACTATTTTATAATATTTTAGAAGAGAATTCAATTTGAAATAAACTATATTTGTATTGTGAAGAAAGTGCATTTGGAAAGGGAAAATACAGAAATACAAAACAAAGAAAGGATGTTTTTTCTTCATTTAGGAGAATTTCCTTCTTACTCTAGCTTTCTAAAGTTCTTTTCCATTATCTTTTTTCAGGTAGGTATGAAATCTTTCTTATATAGACATGACTTTGAATTTATACATTATTGATGATTATGCTGTATTTGTTTATCTATGTGTGTCTGTATGAATGTGTGTCTATATGTATGTGTGCTCTTACTCTCTAAATCATGCCGTTTCTCAAGAGTGGTAGAGAATCTAAAGGACTCTCTTCTGTTAAAATATATGCAATTTAAAATATGAGTTGTAGTACATTGTGATACTCAGTTGTCCTAGGGAATCAACTGGGTTGAGGTCTGAGTAAAAAATATATGGACATGATGACTGTATGAGAAGAAATGTTTGGAAATATATATATATATATAAAGCATCTATATATATGTTACTTTATATATTAGTATATATACACATATATTATATATCCACACATGCATAATTTTCTTTAACAGAAACTGAAACATTTCTGGGCAGCATATAAATTTCATTGTATTACATTTTAAAAACCTATTATGATTTTCTTTGCTAGGATAATTGCAAATTCTTGACTAAATAATGGAAGTAGGTGTAGCAAAGAAATAATGTATGTTTTTAATAGTTTTTTTTAATGACATGAATACACGCAACTGAATTGCTTTAGTTTAAATATGTGATTTAAACACACATTTTGTGCTAGTTAGAGAGATATCATTTGAAAGAAAAGCAATTTAATAGATGAGTGAAAATATCATATGGAAAACACATGTATTTGATGTTGACTATAACAAAACAGGCCTGTATAAGTATAATTTGGGTTACTTTTTAATATATGTATCTAAGTATAATTTGGGTCACTTTTTAATATGTGTATCTTCACCCATAAGAAGTTGCCTTCTATCTTAGAAGGCTTGGCATCTCAAAGAAATTAGTTCTTGGGCAAACTGACACACTACACTAAATAATTCAGAATTTCAGAAGGTAAGTGCTTTGAGGGGAGAATTAGAGTGCGTTTTAGAAGATGTAGATCTAGAGATGAATGTTAAAAGGTGAGTAAGATTTAGTAAGAGTAAAATAAATGGGTTAATCAGAAATAAAGAGACATAAGATTGTAAAAAATATTTAAATAAATTAGAACTTGGTATGAACAGAGGTATGGATAGCCTGGAACATTTATAAGTGCTGGGAGATAATTCTAAAATCAGACATGGGAATTGAAATTGTTTGCAGACTTAAATTCAGTACAGAGGTTTATGAATTTTACACTAAAGAAATGACAGTTGTATCTTGATCTATATCCTGCTTTTATACAATTCTAACTATTCTTTATAGGAAAATAATGAAGACTACAAAGAAAAGAATAAGACCCTAGGAAGATATAAATTAAAAGTCTCTTATAAAATTAAATGACATAAGGCTAGATTGATTAAAGTGGAAGAAAAGAACAAAAAATTCATCATATTCAAATTTTGTTTGGATAATTATACTAGGATTGATATTGATGGAAATTTGAAAGATAAAAGTTTTTGTTAGGGAAAATAATAATGGTCTCTGATTTTGAATCCTAGGGTTATCTAAAAGAATAGAGAAGATGTATGGCAAGGAGTCAAAAACAGAATTGAGCCATGTTTGACATTTCTTCCATGGTCATATTTTTGGGAATCATACACTTATAGGTTTGTGGTTCTAATATTTTCTCTTCAAAATGATATTTTCAGCTTTTATATTTCTCTGTAGAAAACACCCAGTTGTTCAAGAAATAAACCAGTGAGCCCTAATTGATCTTTCTCACGTTCTACATCTGGACTATTTAAGTATATCTAAACTTTCTGCTAGAGTCATTCTAAGATTAGAAATCTTACCAGCATCTACCAAGTCATCTCTTTCCTAAAGTATCGGAACAGCCTCCTGACTAGTTTCTACATCTTAGCTAACTACTTGTCAATATATTTTGCAATCTGAGGCTAGCTTTATTTTAAATGTAAACATCATGTTAATTACCAGTTCCTTCTTGACCTGCATTGTCCCTTGACCAGTTTAAAAACCTCACAGAAACTGGCTCTTAGGGTCTTTGGTTAAATACAAAACTTTAGCTTAATTTAAACATTCATTTTGCTTCCTATGTGTGCCTACTACTACAGTCTAAACACAGGGCACGTTTTCCATCATTCTGGAGTCAGCAGTTCTCTCAGCTACCCCTGGGCCTGGATACCTTTTCAGCTGGAATCTTCATCATTCTATTCCTTCTGCTGAAAATAATTTTCCTTAAACCACATCTATTCATGTCACATCTATACCTATGGCTTACTAAGAAAGACTGTCCGCCATAAGAAAAGGAAAAATGTGCTATTTTTTAAATATTCTTCCCAGTAATGCAATTTCCTTATCATCAAATATTTCTTAATATGGTCAGCAGCAACCTATTAAATGAAAGAACTACTAAATTTGTCTGTGATATTTTGTGGCCAATGCAAGACTCATTATTCTGCTATTATATAATATGAAAGAAAAGTCATGCTATATTTCAAACACATTTTTAATGAAATATATCAAAAATGAAATTTTGGGAAAGCTTTAAATGTTTTAATTAAATTAAGCAGAATAAACAATAAAATTTTTAATAAGTCACAGATTTTTTTTGCAACATGCGAACTTCTCTTTATACCATCTAACTCTTAAGTATTATTAACTCTTAATAATGATTAAGACTCAATACCATCTAAATTAGATTGTTCATATTTCTTGTTTAGTGTTTGTAATGATTGGTTTTCTTTGCCATTTTTAATTGAGGTAACCATCTTTCCATGATAAGAAAAAAGATTGAAAGAAAACTAGCAAGTAGATGGTTTGTATTAGGCAATTAAAACAACATAAAGCTTGAATACATAGTGTATCCTTAGCATGGTATTGACAAATATATGCACCTGGTAGCATAGAAATAATACTATAATCATTTCTTCTAAAATATATTTAGTATTTGCTACTTTTACTCAGGAAACTAATACAGTGGTTAAAATACGTTTTTGTTTGGATAATATCTCCATTATATCCCTTTATAATTATACAAGGTATTGTTAAGAAAGGGTGGATTTTCAGAAAAATATAAACAATTTGGAAAAACATGCTTATTAGTCACTTCCTGTAATGGCCTATTTTGTGTCACCATATGTTTTGACAGTTGTCTGTAATTTCTAGGTATTTTACTTTTGTCCTGGAGATATACAGCTATCCCCTTACACACACACACACATTCACTTATACCCGTGTTCAGGGTTTTCTCTCAACTGTATTTATGAGTTTAATTGTTTTCACTATCTAACATTTATTTTTGTATGTGTCTTCTTTTCATGAGTAGGGTGATGAAGATGATTAATGAGAGTTTGGCAGGGGATTTCATACTGGTGGGCTTCTCTGACCAGCCGCAGCTGGAGAAGATCCTCTTTGTGGTTGTGTTAATATCCTACCTCCTGACACTGGTAGGCAACACAGCAATCATCCTGGTCTCCTGTCTGGATCCCATGCTCCACACACCCATGTATTATTTTCTTACCAATCTCTCCTTTGTTGACCTCTGCTTTACCACTAGCATTGTTCCCCAGCTGCTGTGGAACCTCTATGGTCCAGACAAGACAATTACTCCTGTAGGCTGTGCCATTCAACTCTATGTCTCCCTGGCACTGGGATCCACTGAATGTGTCCTCCTAGCTGTCATGGCATTTGATCGTTATGCTGCTGTTTGTCGACCACTCCATTATGCCACAGTGATGCACCCACAACTTTGCCAGTCTCTTGCAGGAATAGCATGGCTGAGTGGAGTGGGAAATACCTTGATTCAGGGCACCATTACCCTACGGCTACCTCGCTGTGGGAACCGTAAGATTTACCATTTCATCTGTGAAGTACCTGCCATGATCAAGTTGGCCTGTGTAGACATTCATGCCAATGAGGTCCAGCTCTTCATGGCTTCCTTGATTCTGCTTCTGCTTCCTCTGTCTCTCATCTTGATCTCCTATGGGTTCATTGCCAATGCAGTAATGAGGATCAGATCAGCTCAAGCTTGGCAAAAAGCACTTGGCACTTGTGGGTCCCACCTGTTGGTAGTATCTCTGTTCTATGGAACCATCACAGCTGTGTATATACAGCCCAACAGCTCCTATGCCCACAGTCAAGGGAAGTTCATCACCCTTTTCTATACTGTAGTAACTCCCACCCTTAACCCTCTTATTTACACTCTGAGAAACAAAGATGTAAAAGGGGCTTTGAAGAGACTAGTAAGAAAAGACAAGAGCACAACAGAGTGAGGAATTCTACTGATGTAAAGAGACAGACCTGGATTTACTGAGATGGGAAGTGCTTAAGAAAAGATATCAGAAAACATTGTCCAGGGACAGCCTGACATGGATGCTGCAAAATGAAACTCATGAGACATTTAAGATAATCAATATTTACTGAAATTCCTTTATTTCATCTTATTGCTTAATATACTCAAGGATATTCTGTCTAGACAGACATCTATGTTATCTGTCAGCCAATCCTTTTACCCAAGAAAGTGCAAACATTACATTGTTTCTAGAACCTCTGCAGTTAATTTTCTTCCCAATCTGCTTTTTTCTTACATAAATCTTGGTTTTGCCCTGATACGTAAAATCATTGTATTGGTTAATTTCTATGAATAAACTGTGATCCACAAATTATGGAGGTGTCTTTGAGTTATTATTTAGCAGGTTTTTTCCTGGACATCCATTGAGGTATTAACTATTTAGATACTTCCCTTAAGCAACAGAAACATGTAGCTTGAAAGTGCACCTCAGCCACACTGACTCCTTGATTCTATAACTCAAACTGCCTTGGCCACTCGGTAAGTCATGTGCTTCTTTTTTGTCTTTTCCTATTTTATTTTTACATTCTAATCTTATTATTTTGCTATGTTAACTTTTCATTAATTATCTATCCATAATGATTATGTCCGGCTGGTGAGTGTGAGCTTCAAATCAATTTTAAGAACTTTTTAAACTCTGATGTAAATTAACACTTTTATCTTTGACAAAAAGGTAAATATTTTTAAATGTTTAGGTGTCATTTGCAGAAATATAATTACCAATTTGTCATTTATTTTTTGTGTATTTTTGACATGATATTTAATTTTATATTAAAGGACCATGAATCTTCATTGATGTGGATGATAGGTTCATAGAAATTGTAACTAAGCAAAATGATGACTACCAAAAACAGGTCTTTGAGTTACATCATTTTCTTAAATATCCCATGGGATATTGTCTTTCTCTTCAACGTGAAAGCAAAATGACCTTCAATGAAACAGTGTTACTCAAGAACCTGCTGTACTATTTCATGGCTAATGGTTTCTGAGTATATAGAAAAGTAGTTTCTAGTGGAATTCCTCTTGTATAGAAACTAAGTGTGATTTTCCATTTTTTCAAGTTTGTTTTATTTCCTTCAGTTTTGATTAAAGTTTTCATTATTAAAGTTGTATTTTGGTTATTGGGGTCTTTTACAGATCCATATAAATTTAAGTAATGTGTGTTTTATTTTTTTGATTAACACCAATGAAAATGATAGGGATCACTTTTTTCATATATATTATTTTGGGTAAGATGGCTATGTTCATGATGCCAAGTATTGTAATGCATAAGTAAAGACTATATTTTCATTTTTGTGTGCCTTCTATTTCTTTCAGTAACGTCTCATAGTTTTCATTGTATAAGTCTTTCACCTCCTAAAGTTCATTCCTAGGAATTTAGTTCTTTTTAATGTAACTGTAAATAAATGTTTTCTTCCTATTTTTCTTTGTAAGCCTAGAGAGAGGAAAGTCAGTTTTGTTTATTCTTTTCAAAGAATCAGCTTTTGAATTCACTGATTTCTTATACTGCCTTTTCAATTTCTATTTTATTTATATTCTAGTTTTTTTTTAATTATTTTTCCTTCTAAGTCTTTTGGTTTTGTTCTCTTTTTCTAGTTCCTTAGGATGTAACGTTAAATTATTTATGTGGCATCTTATTCATTTTTTCTTTTTTAGTATGTCTATAAATTTCTTCATGTATGGGTGCATAGCTTTTAGTTAGTGAGTGCCATGGAGATTCTACTTAAATTCCTAAGTTTTAGGTCCTTTATGAACTGATGTCTACTCTCTCACTTTTTACTATACTACATTGACTCATTTCTTCTTCTACCTTAGTATTTGGTGTTGTTGACTCATAGTATTTTGCTCTTAATACTGGTGTTATATTGCTATTGTCATTTTGCTAAGGAATTTGTGTTTTAGTTTTTCTTATCTTGTAGAAGAACTCCTTATAGTATTACTTGAAGAGGAGGTCTGCTGGTGGCAAACTCCATTAACTTCTGTTTCTCTGAGAAAAACTGTATTACACCTCATAATTGATAATTTTTGAGGATAGAGAATTCTTGGCTGGCTGTTCTTGTCTTTTAGGATTGTGAATATTTCTTTCCACTATTTTCTTGCCTGGAAAGTGTTGGGACTAATATCTAAGGAAATTTTAATTTGGGAGCTCTTATAAATTATTATTTTTTTCCTTGCTCCCTGCAAATTTTTTTCTTTGTATTTGATTTTTGATAGTTTGAAAATGGTGTATCTGGGTGTAGATCTTCTTGCATTAAAGAATTTAGAAGTTCTCTCTACTTGCTGGACTTTCATATTTAATTCATTCTGTAGATTTAGGAAGTTCTCATTTTTTTTAAATTGGTTTTCTACTCCTATTTCCTTTTTCCCTTATCTGGGAGCCAATCATTATTAGGTTTCCTCTTCTAACTGAATCTCATATATCTTGTGATTTCCTCACTTTTCCTTTGTATTGATGCTCCTCTCTCTTTTTTCAATGTATAATTTGTTTATGAGTCTTCTACAGATGAAATTCTTTCTTCTGCCATTTTAATTATATTCAAAGCACTGTCTAAGGTTGTCTGTATTTCATTCAGATTCTCTTTGTGTGATTTTTTGAAAATATAAATAAAATTTCTTTTTTTTAATGATTTATTTATTTATGTATACAAGAACTGGGGTATAGGCCAGAGGTGCAGGAGGGTGAGAGAATTCACTGGAGACAGAGTGGGGAGCAGAACAGGCAGAGTGACTGAAAACACTGTTGAGGGGAGCAGTGGGTGAGACAGGAGAGATCTGCTGCTGCTGTCATGTGGGTATCTCCCTGGCCAGCTAAGGCTTGAACTTGTGCTACAGAGGCTGCAGATAGCTTCATAGTGCTGTGCTTAACCCTTGCACAACCAGGGAGGCCTAATTACAATTTTCTTAGTGAAGAACTCACTTGGTTGTGGGATCTCCTTTCTGAGATCTTTGGTCTGCATATCTGCTTTTCAGTAACCTTATGGTATCTCATTTAAAACTTCCAATATTGTTGTTTTTAAATCATTGTCACATAGTTTCTCTATTTCTGTTACCTTTATATTTTTCCTGGGATTTCTGTCCTCATTTTGTTTTCCATCTTGTGTTCAGATGTTCTTTGCTTCCTAGGCATGCATATTGCCTTATTTGAGCTGTATATGCTTGTGTATGTGGGATGCTGGGAATTTCTCTCTTTTTTGGTCTTCTTTTGTTTAGTTGGTGTGAAGCGGATGGTGAATGGAGGTCTAAGACTTTAATATTTGATCTTGGTTTGAGTGAATTCAGTCACTTCTACTTCTTGTTTTGTTCCACAGTAAGCTGTATTCTGTACTTAGGTTATCTTCACTTTCCTTCCTACCTCCCTGTTGTTCCTTCATACTAGGAGTCATGATCCTATGAGGCTTGGATCTCCCAATAGGAAGGGAACTATCTGGAAATCCATACTCAGACTCTGGGAAATATTTACACTTGGTTCAAAGGTGGCACTGTGTGTAGCATGCACACATGCGTTTCCTTAACACTGTAGCCACCCACAATGGCCATTGCTGACCCACCCTTGCTTCAGCTGCCCCTTCTATAGGAATGGGATGTATATGCACCCTTGGTGAGTGGCTCCCTGAGGATTTGTGAGTTCACTGTGAAGTCCTTCTTTCTGCTGTTGGAGTTTACATGGAGTCAAACCTGGCTAAGCCCAGTTTGGAGTGTGACAAGCTCCTCTTGGATTGGGCTGAACCTACTCTTACGTCAACAAAATACCTCTAGGGAATTTCTTAAAGTCCTTGGTGTGGCTTGAGAAGTTGACCCCAAGCTGGACATGCTCTTCCTTGCCTCCTTTTATTCTTTTTCCTTGGTGGCCACCAACCTTAATTCTTGATCTCCCTGGGGGAAGTGCTGGGACTGTATAGCTGGTGTAAAGTATCTGGATATTCCTACAAGCACATTTCAAATTTTTTATGATTGTTTTCAAGGGAGAGAATACATTATTGAAATTTATATGGAGCTGCAAAAGTCATGGAATAATTACAGAAATTTTTTATTTTTATTATTTATTCATTTTTTTAAACCTTTATATATTTTTTTCATAAAGTAAAATTCCTCCCATTAGGTATGGTCACCATAGTTTTCCCACCACCAATGCACTCATATTCCTCCACCATAGTCCATTGTGCTCTCCCGCATTCTTGTCTGTCATTCATTCCACTCCCATTTCTTCTCCTTCCCTTCCTGAATGTCTCAGATCCATTGTGTGCTTTCAAGCTTTGGTCTTGCAATTGTTTTTGTATGATCTTTTTTTTTTGGTTTCTGTAGATTCCACATATAAGTGAAACAATCTGGGATTTTTCTCTTTGGTTCACTTCACTTAGACTAATAACTTACAGTTCAATCTGTGTTACCCCAAATAGCATGTGTTTATCTTTTTTGATAGCTGAGTAGTATTCCATTGTGTATATATACCATATTTTCTTGATATACTCATCTGTATTGGGATATTTAGGTTGTTTCCATTTTGCCTGTTAAAATAGTGCTTCTATAAACACAGAAGTGCAGAAGTCTTTTCAAATTAGTGTTTTGATGCTCCTAGATATCTACAAGTGGAATCATATGAAAATGCTGGGTCATATGGAAAATCCATTTTTATTTTCATGACATCACACTTATTTCTAGAGGGGCTGGGGCAGTCTACATTCCCACCAACATTGTAATAGGGTTATTTTTTCTCCATAGTCTAGTCAGAACATGTTTCTTTTAATTTTTTTTTAACATTGACCATTCTTACAGCTGTGAGGTGTGGGAAATCAAAACCTCATTGTGGTTTTGATTTTCATTTTCCTGATGATAAGTGATGATGAACACTGTCATATGCATATCTTCTTTGGTTAAACACCTATTTTGATCTTCTGCCCAATTTTTTAATTGGTTCTTTTCTTT